AAGGTCCTGTCCCTTATTATGTACTGTCTCATTCCTGAGACTGATTGCCAAGGTCCAATTATCAAACACCGTGGTCTAGCAATCAAAATTCATTGTTTGGCTATACTGGCTAACCTGTCTAACCTGTGATTTACCAACTCACCCTAGCATAGACTTCCTACTTCTCCCCTTTAAAATCACTTCAGTGGAGATTCCTGCTGTTTGCTGTCGTGCCTTTGTCTGATCCAGAGGCAGCACCCCCCAACCCTTGTCCCCCCAGGGTAATAAATCTTTGTGTTGAGAACTTGATGTCTGGGTGTATTCTAAGCCAACTTTAAAGGGCTTTCCAACTACTACAGACTGGAATTCAGTCTCATCCTACAAGGCAGTCCGACACGTTATTAGAACTGTAAGAAATCTCTTTTCTGGGAATCAAGGTCTGTCTCTCTGTCACTGTCTGGTCTAGGCTTCAGCCTTTTCCTTCTCTCAGTAGGAGATTTCCTGGAGAAAATTTTGGTTTCTTTGGAGTCCATTGTTTCAATAGTCTGAAAACCAGACTAAAGAGCACGAGTGGCTCATCAGAGTTTATGCATGTCTTCCAGGCCAGTTGCAACTTTACCACGGAGCTCCCCAGAGGGAGAGGGGAGTTTTAAAGGTGGCATTGTTACCTTGCTCTGTCCTAATGGTACCAGTATTCCAAAGAACAGCTGTTTTCATATATACACAAGGGGCAGATTCTAGTCTAGATAACACCAGTTCGCCCCAGTTCCCAGAAGCCTGAGAGGGAGTCAGTGGTGTTCCAGATGGTCCTTTATCTGAACAGCCTGGTTTTGGCTTACTCTCAATAGAGGACATCGTGTCCAACGTTCTTCTTTCTTCACTCATCGTACACCATCAGCCAGGAAACGGTTTATTCCACCTGAGAAACTAGAGAACATGAAGAGTGACCGGGATTCCCTATAACCACATCTCAGGCTGCTGGTATTGGAGTGACAATCTCAGCTTGTGTCTACCACAGAAAGCTCAGGGCAGCTGAGCTTGTGCTAAAGGAAACAGAATCTTGGCTAGCCCTCCTCCAGGCCACGTGAGCTTCTTAGCTAGCCCTCCTCCAGGCTAGGTGTGTATGCAAAGCCAAAGAATGAACATTTCCTGAGAATGGCTTGAAAGTATGATGTTTACAAACAAAAACAAATTTATCTTTCAAGAAAAAAAAAATCTATAAAGAGAAAAATCATGAAATAAAAAGGTTGAAACTCTTGAAAACCTTTAGTTTCTCTGCTATCTGTAAGGCATGGCTTATTTTATAGATAAAAACACTTTGTCAGGGTCTGATGTGATCTGGTAGTTTCAGTTCCCCGTTCTCTCCCACAAAGAGTGTATACATTTTATTTCCTCTTACACATCACATTATACATTTTTATCTGCTTGTTTACAAGTAACACATAATGTATTGCGATTGAAATAGACAATTCAAAGAAATGTGCAACACCCATGTTCCTCTTCCTTAGATTTTAGTTAAAGGTGGCAGTTCCCAAAGATAATAACCTCTTATCTTTGGGAAGATAAAATATATTTTTCTCCTGATAGAAAACTGTAGCATGTAGTTTTAAAAACGATCCACGATAAATTGGCTATGCACTGGCAACGGTGGCCTCGGCAATCCCCATGGTCAGTGGGCTGCCAAGTGGCTCTCACTTCCCAGGCCAACTGCCCCCTGTGGCTCGCCTGCATAGTGCCTCTCAGATCCCCTGAGCCCCATAAAATGATCAACAAATGTTAAATATGTGATAGATTTAAACTCAGATATTTAAATCAAGACGAACAGTCGATCAGTGTCTGTTTACCCTTTGAAGTAAAATGAAGTTCTCTCTCTCTCTCTCTCTCTCTCTCTCTCTCTCTCATTCTCTCTCTCTCTCTCATTTTCTCTCTCTCTCTCATTTTCTCTCTCTCTCTCATTTTCTCTCTCTCTCTCTCATTTTCTCTCTCTCTCTCATTCTCTCTCTCTCATTTTCTCTCTCTCTCTCATTTTCTCTCTCTCTCTCTCTCTCTCTCTCTCTCTCTCTCTCTCTGCGTGTGGATGTGCGTGTGTGTGTGTGTGTGTGTGTGTGTTTAATGTTTGACATTTAAATCACCTAAGCCCTGGGGAAATGTTGACTAGAGTTTTACCCAGAGAAAGTCATAGTCCTTGATCCACCAAGTGGAAATAAGAATGAGCAGTAACAATTAGCCAAATGAAAGGGAAGAACATCAAAGAATCATAAACTTCAAAGGTACCATGAAGTAGAACAATGGACTCCAAGTGCCTTGGTGACACATGAAAGGGGCCAAATGCCTTCCTGGTGACACCATAAATGTTTAAATGTATTCACAGGATCAGTACTTAATCTCTTATAACACTACACAGATGGCTTTTCCCTGTGCCCCAGACTGTATCTTTTGGAGATCATTGAAAATACAGGAACTGAAAAAAGGAAGACAATATATTTACAGGCAACCATAGTGGTGTAATGAAAGCTAAAAGCTTAGAGGTGGCCAGTAGCATGGAAAGGATTAGGAAAGTTGTACTTTATTTATAGGAAGGAATACTAGATAACAGCTAAGTCTCATCAATGTACATGTAAGCAGAATGATGATATGTCCCACTTCAATATATATATATATCACATGGGGATAGGCAGTGGTTTACTGGATAAAGTACTTTGCATGCGGACCTGAGTTCAGATCCTAGTATAAGCTAGGCTTGGCCTGGGCACCTGTAGTCCCATGTCTGGGAGACAGAGAGGATCCTAGAAGTTCACTCACAAGTCACTGTAGCCAACCAGAGCTTCAGATTCAGTTAATGATCTTATCTCAAAACTTAAGGTGGAGAATAACAGAGAAAGGCACCCAGTGTCTACCTCTAACCTCCATGTGTTCACACACAGACAATTGCACCGAAACACACTTGTGTGTACATACACATCACATCACATCACACACACACACACTCACACACACACACACACACACACAGAGAGAGAGGGAGAGAGAGAGAGAGAGAACAGCTTATGGGCTTGTTTTTACTTTTTTCTTTCTTATGCAAGGGATCCAAGCCAGGGTTCTGCATGTGCTAGGCAAATACTCTACCAAAGAGCCACACAGCCAGCTCCAATATGTTTTAAGTAAAGTGTTAAAGAAATAATGAACAGAACCTCTAAGGAGCAAAGGAAACACTGAGCGAGCAGTCTTGAATGAATGTGTATTTTGACATGGGCACAGCCATGTTGAGGACTACAAGACCTCATGGGACTATTGGCTTTTCTTGGGAGTCTCAATGTGAGTCTTTATGAACAGTTGTTCAGCGACTGTAGCTCCCTCCTCTGGGATGTTCACAGCCTAAGACTGCTTGATTACAGAAACCTACCTAGATTAGCTCACACACATACCCAACCCCTACACTCTTTCTAATAAAAACACTGAGGATTCAGGTTGTAATGTTGTTAGAACCCTAGCTTCACTGTATGTGTGTCTGTCCTTTCTTCATTCCCTCGATGCCCTTGCCAGGGGACTGGGACCCAAATCACACTGATCCCAGGAAGAACATATGTGCACACAAGACGTACCTGATTAAAGTAGACATTATTGAAAGTCAAGAGAATCGGAAGTAATGTTGCTAAATAGACATTTATCAAATCCCTATTATGTTCAGGGCATTTTCTAGTTGGTAAACACTTAAAATACTAGTGTACAAGAAGAAACTAAAATACACGCCATTTTGTCATTAGCATCTATGGACAGACACACACAATAAATGTGAACAGTAAAGTTATATAATAATGCATATTTTCCACTGATGGGTAGAACTCACATACAATAAATGTATAGCTCTTATGCATACATCTGTGTGAGTTTGATATTTGTATTCTTTGTGTAATTACCATCTAGATCTAGATAAGGAACATTCTCAGCATTCCACAAGCTACTGTCAGTAAATGACCCTGCCAAAGTCAACATGCATTTGGCCCATTCACACTTCCCATTTATACACAATGATAAAGAATGCATTTTCCACATGTCTGAATCCACATTATGTCATTGTCAACATTAGCCAACATTATGTCTACATGCTGTGGTGTAGAACATCACTACATTTATCTTAACTCATAATGTACTATTTCATTACATGATAATGGCCTTATATTAATAATCTATACTTGACTTACTCATTTTCTGCTGATGAAATTGAAAACTAAGCAGTTCCCCACATTCTTGCTCTAGTCTTTTATGGCTTTTGGAAGACAAAAGCATTTGTTCTGGTTGGGAGACAGTCTTAGGTAAGAGGTCCCTACTTGCTCAACAACACTAGTTGATATTGTCAATGTTCCAAAGCAGTTATACTCCCAGCATTACACAAGTTCTATTGCTTCATAAATTACCAGCTACTGTCAGCCTGTTGGATTGTAGCCATTCTGGTTGGCCTATGTTAGGATATTACAATGTTTACAATGACCCTGCTAGTTAATGGTTCTCGTTGTCATTTTACGCACTAATAGGCTACTTGGAAATTCACTTTTAGGAAATGCCTGTTTAAGCCTTGATTTGTTTTGTAAGGTATCTTTCTGGTTATATTGATTTTGGCAAGAGGTCTTTTCGAGTAGCCATGTTCTCCCAACTGAGCCTGAGCCTGATGCCTACCCACAAACCAGCTCTTTCTGGAACCATTGATGGGGACCTGAGATACTGACTCTCCTAGAGCTTGCTCTTCAGTGTTGTTTTAAATTGCTTCAGGAGTCTGTGATGCAAATGCAGACCTGGTGAAGAAGGTGTCTGAAGAGACAAAGTTTTACACTAACAAAGTACATAAAAGGATGTGAAGTACCACATGGCAGGTCTCCCCTCTGCCTTTTGACCTAGAGACTTCAGAAGGACCAAAGCAATAGCCTTCAGTATTGAAGATCATCTACAAGGAGTTTTGAATCCATTGGATCAAGACTTCTCATCAGGTGTCTGTTGGTGTGACAAATGACCAAAGAAAAACAACATAAGGGGAGGATAATTTATTCAGGTTCATGGTTCAGGAGGTACAGCTCACAGGAGCAGGGAGAGAGTGGTAGGAGAGGATCACAGATGTAGTGACAAGTGCTGGGGTCACAGCACATTCTGATTATAGCTTGTCTCAGGAAACAGAGCAAGCAGAAGAGGGGCTGGGCTACAGTGGTCAAAACTCTTATCAATCTACTGTCTCCAGATAGACCCCACCTGCTGGAGAGCCCACAACTGCCCAAAATAGCCATGAGTTGGGAACCAAGTGTCTGAACATATGAGCTTCTAAGGGGCACTTTAGCTTTAGAAGGCCACTTTGCTAATGAAAAGGAATTGCTGGGTTTTTAAGAGCCTGTATTTGGCAGGGATTGGATGGCCAAAAAAGAGAGCTAGTGAGGATTGGGATCTGGAATGGGATAGAAGGAAGGAAGAAGGTGGGTCTGGGGCTGCAGGGATCCTGCCTACTCCCCAGGGCTCCTGGCAAACCCAGGAGATCTGGTATCTTTATCCTACAGCCCACCCTGTCAAGGTCCTATGTGCTTCCCCAAGTGGCCATCTTTGTGAACATAGGTCTTGGGAGGAAGCGACTTGTCTTCATATAGTCGGAGATCTTCTTCAGGCCCTGTGAGTGAGGACAGAGCAGAAGGTCAGCCCCACTGGGCTAAGCATTCCCCCTCCAGAAACAGCTTTCCCTGTAGGCTCTAGTAGAGTTCTAGGAAAGGAAATCCTCAGTTGTCTATAAAAAGATGCCTGTGCATCAGAATTGTGCCCATTATAGATTATGATCTATGCTCAGAAAGCACTCTCCACCCTCCAAGATCAGTCTCACTGTGCCTACATGTCAGCAGAGAAGCTGAGATCCATAGCAGTTGTGGGGCTTCCTCCTGCTCTCACAGCTAGTCCATAAGACAAGATCTGCGTCAGCCTGGCTCTGCCCAGTCCCCTCCTGACTTCTTCCCACAAAAGACCCTGTCACTTCTCGCCTTCACAGACATGATCCTTTCTCACAGGGAACATCCTCCTTGCTGGTTTATACAGAAACCTCCTGTATAAACAGGGCAAGGATGTCTACAACAGGCCAGTGCAGCAGGGTAGAGAGCCCAGACCTGAGCCAGTGACCCAGCAAACCCTGGGTCAAATGCACAAGGGGAGGAAGGCCAGCTTGGAATGCTGAGCCAGCTCTAATTGTTCTCCTGAAAGTAGATATCTAACCTGCTCTATGTGTGGCCTCAGGCCAAACTCACTGGGTCAGTCCCAAAGCTGCCTCATATCCAGCCCTGCTACAGAGGATCATGCAAAGAGACACTAGGAATGTTTGTTCCATTTCACCAGGAAAGCCTGCTCAGATGATTTCTACAGTGTTCAGAAACCTACAGCTAACTGAAATCAAGAAGCCAGGTGCAGCAGGCCTCGGGCTATAGCTCTCGGCTCTTCTATCCGTCCATATCATGGCCACACCAGCTCTGGTACACTTTCAAGGCCATTGGGTCAGGACTAGACTCAGAGCTGGTGAAACTAACTGAGAATATATATCACTTGACACAGGGACAAGATTCCAGGCCACAAGCCTGTTGTTCTAATGCCTGCAGTTCCCAAATCTCTGAAAGAATATTCTGTGGGTGTTAAGTAGACTCTGGGGGACCCATGACTAGCTATGCAGTGAGGGCCAAGCTGTGATTCCTAGCATCCAAGTTACTGGTGTGTATACTATGTCTGTTATGATCAGTGCTCTCTGCTATACTCTATCTCTGAATGGAGTTCTTTCCATGTCTCACTGGGACCTGATACTGAGCCTCATACAGAGGAGGAGGCCAGTGAATAGGAGTCAAAATAAGTATATGAATATATTGTAGAAACAGCTAATGGAAACACAGGGAAAAGAAAGGGGAGAAAAGCCCTACACCATGCAACTCTTTAAAACCCTGAATAGGGCCCACATACACTCTCAAATCTAGTGACAAAAACATCCCTGGGGTTTGGCATGTGTTCTGATGGGAATGAACCTGCATGAAGCTTTCTGAAGATCAGTGTGAGTATTGTCTACACACAGCTATTTCACACAAATCCCATCATGCCTCCCTCTCTGAACACCTGTGGCCTACATAGTGCTGCCATGGTCTGCCTTTTCCACAGAATCCTGGACTGAGTAACTCAGATAGCACAAGGACCTGAGGCTCTTCCTTTGACATAAAATAGGAAATACCTACTCCTTGCTGACCTTAGAGGCTAGACACCCACAGGGATCTGGGCACAACCTCTGCTAGTAAGTGCCTTAGTCTGTTTCCTTATCTGTCCAATGGGACTCATAATTCAAACTGCCCTGTAAGTTGGTTGTAATGATAAATCTTACACAATAGATAAAGTATGCTGAGACAGAAAGCAAACACTCAATAAATGCTATTGGTTTTGCTGATTTTAAGCTCAATTCTGTGACTAAGGGCCTTTCAAGTAAAGCAGGGAAAGGAGGAACACAAAGAAGAACAAAGATTTAGAGTGTTCATCACCTCAAAACGCGCTATGAAGTCCTTCAGGTTTGGGAACGCGTCCAGGCACTTGGCCTCAAACACTTGGTTCCTCTCAAGCACATCGTAAGCAAGGAAATCCACAAAGGTGATCTGTTGGAAGCTGAGGGTGAGTGTGCTTGGATCCAGTAACCTGGGAAGGATGGCAGCTCCTCCCCACTCCCTCTCCCTTACCTTGTCCCCTGCAAACCATGGCCGCTTGCCCAGGAACTCAGAGTAAAGCCTCATCATTCCAGGCAGTTGCTCCAGGTACCCTGGCTTCAGTTTCTCCTAGAACAGAAAACTCTGTGACCACCCTCTGTCACAAGATTCTGGGCATGGGTTAATTCTGCTTTAATTTATAATGTCACTATTATTAATTCATTGTGTTTATTTGATTAGAGTCCTACAGGCACCAGATCCAATATCAGAGGTGATGAGAAGCCGCACAGGGGCACGCTGTCCCTGAGATTCACTACAGATGCTCAGAACAACTCTTGTGGGTCAGACTCAGGGCTATGTGAGCAGGTTCTTGCATTCAGATGTTATTGAGGCAGAGAAGCAAAGAACTAGAGCATTCTGGAAAAGAAGTTGAATGTTCTACACAGTGAGGTGACAGGAAGGAGAGCGGGAGGACTCTGGTGTGGTTCCAAAAGGATGAAGTGGGTGTGAGTGGACGAAAGGAGACAAGGCAAGGCGTGTCTTGGCCCGCTGTGAAACGCCTTTTGGGAACATGTCCTTATCACCAGGGGCATCCCAGATATGGCTCTGGGAATCTGGTTAGGAGGAGTCTCCAGGTAATGGCTCCCATCCATTTCCAGGTTACTCTACCTTTTCTCATTGTTGGAATATATATTATAGAAGCAGTAATAATTTAATCCGAATGGAAGACATAACACAGGGCAAAGATGGGTCATCAGAACTGAGAGATTCTAAACACAGTCTTTAGTACCCAGCTACTGACGCTGGACTGTGGAGTGTTTGCTTTGCATGCTGAAGTTCATTGTTAAGTGCCATTTGACAAGACTCTGAGGTTTGAGGGTCACTCTGTTGGCAGAGGTGTGTGTGTGTGTGTGTGTGTGTGTGTGTGTGTGTGTACAAGAGTATGTGTGTGCATGGAGGGTTTTGTTTTGTTTTGGTGTTTTTTTATTTTGAGACAGTGTACCTAGGAAGACCTTAACTTTAGTCCTTTTGTCTTGGTCTCCACACTGTGCCACCATGACTCTGCCAGCAGTTGAGAACATCATCTGTAGGTGAACAGCGCTAAGAAGTTTAGACACTAAACACACAGAGCAGATGATAAGGCAAGGGTACAAGCCCAGAGTGGGACTTACAAAGTCAGCATTATAGCAAAGCCTTGCCAGCACCATGCGGTTGTCCATAAGCTGATTCTCCAGAATGTCCACACGAATCCTCTCCTCTTCTGTCTCCCCACCTGTGAAAAACACAGCACAGACTCACTCTCAACATGCCACCCTGGCTAAGCCCAGTGGGTGGCCACTATCTCCCCCTCCCTGCAGTCAGCTCCACTCACACAGGTTGTGCTTTCGGCCAAGGTAGCGCAGGATGGCGTTGCTCTGGGTAATCTTGTGTGAACCATCAATTAAGTAGGGCAGCTGGACAGACAAGCAGGGAAGGTCAGAGGGGATATGAAATCTTTGAATTCCTTCCTTGGGTGAGGGCAGACTGAGGCCTAGCACTCAGTGTGTCCGCCATGGAAAACCTATAAAGACACTGCTCACTGAATGAAAGAACTGGGATACAGCCCATCACAGAAAGATGGTGTGGACAACCAGGAATGGGCAGATAAAAGACAAAGGACTGATCCCAGACCTCCTCATCTGTGTAAATAGGGAAACCATCACCGTCCCCACACCTCCCTTCCCCTGTACCTACATTGGGAAAGTCCAGGCCCAGCTTGAATTTCTCGTTCAGCCATTGGCTTTGGTCATAGTCAGGAGCTGTGGTGGACAAGAGGCTGTGAAACCCAATGACCTATGTGTTCAAACCCCTTTCCCAAGATTTTCCCAAGGAGTAAGACTCTCCGAGGCAGCAGACCTACAAGCTGACTCATGAAGTCACACTGCAAGCTGTCAAGGATGTGTTTGTAAGGGCTGTGATGAGCTCCTTCATCATGAAAGCTTACGAAAGATTTAGCCAATTGCTAGAGGAATGGAGCCCAGTTATAAATACAGAGGACTCTTAAATCTTTTTTTAGCATCTTCCATTGGTATATCAAACCACACCATCAAGGGTTTTGGAAGGGGCGTATAATAGGTTAGGTCCAACAAAGAGGCAGAGCTGAGTGATGGGGTTGGAGAGCTAGGTGTTGGTTGCTGGGCAACAATGAGCAGGAGTTGAGCAGGGATCTGACTAGAAAGGATGCAATCACCGTCCCCCATGGTGTATCTCTTCTCCTCATAGCTTGAGTCTGTGTATTCCAGGAGCAGGCGAATGGCATGGGCTAGCTGTAAGAGACAGCAAAAGATGGTGAGGTTCTTTACCCCTTCTAGATGAGTCCCCATTCTCTGACCTAATTTTACCAGGACCATGGATGGACCAGAACACACACACACACACACACACACACACCTGCAAGAGCATGCCTCCATCGACTACATGTATCCTTGCCCCTCCTCCAAGTCCTACCCTGCATTCAGACCCCTCACTCACCCCACGGATGTCCCAGTAACCCAGTGTCATGGGCATGGTGCCGTGGTCTGAACAGACAGGCTCAGTGTCCATCTAGCCTCAACTGTTCCGAGAGCTGCCAGAAACAGACTGGCTTCGCTTTGTCAGGTCTTCAGACCGCCCTTCCCCACCCCCCAGTTCCAGCCAATACCAGAGTCCAGGAGCAAGGCCAGGCCCGCCCTGCAGAGCCAAGGCTGCCTGAGCTCTGACGTTGGTATGGTGGTGGCTTGGCTGAGTGCCAAAAGCAAAAGACAGGGCTGGATTCACTAGCTTTTTATTAGCAGCTCTGCCCGGCTTTTGCTGTAGGGCTGCAGTACTCTACCATCTAGTCTAGATGTCTGCAGCATTCCCCAGTGATGATAGAGCAGAAGGCCTAGAACCTTGACAAATGTGTCCTGAAGGCAAAATTATCTCTTATACTGTGAATACTTGAAAAATGTGTGTGTCACATGTTAAATGTATTTGTTTTTTTTCTGTTTTTTATTCTGATATAATGTTAATTTTTGAAAAGATTTCACAAAAGAAAAAGTACACACTTATCACCTACATACCATAGCTGCTCCCTTGTTCAGGTGCCCTCCCCTAACCTCTGTCCTCCCTAACTTGCCTTTCCCTCTCTTCTTGTTTCCCCCACCCCCTACCTTTACTCTCTAGCATGAGCACAAAAGCTTACAACCAAGATTCATTCCATTTTCTTTCCCACCAACACCATCCGGGAGTACGTGAGACCCTGGAGGAACTGTGACTGATAGTCATCTCTGTTGTGCTAACTCCCAGCCAGGCCATTCACATGGACCTGTAACTTCTGACAATTGATGGAACATGTCTCTCTTTGCAGAGCTTTGAAAACCTTGTCCCCAATTCCCGAGGAACAAGTGTTCTTTGTCTTATGTTTCTTCTTTATCCCTTCTTTTTTGAGATGGCTTCAGAGGCTGGCCTTGGAACTCTGTGTAACCAAGGCTGGCCATGGATTAGCTTCAGTCCTCCTGCCTCAGCTCCCGAGTGCTAAGATTAAGGGCATGGAGCACCACATCTGTCTCTTTTAGGATGCACCAACTCACTCAGATCTTGATTCTTTTAAACATGTTTCGTGCACACGTTGGTTTTATTTGGTTAAAATGTAGCTGAGGGCGAGGAAACCTGCCCTAATTAGAGCTATCATTGTGCTGATATTTTTTAGACCAACTTTTATTAACTTCTGAATCTCAGTGAGATTGTGGGGTGGACAAGGGTCCAGCCACAAAAGGTGCCCTTGATGTTCTAGAGACCCCTTAAAAGCTGCCTGCCCTGGGGGTGTCCTTCTTAGTCTGCTAGGATTCCTGTGAACCAGGCTCTTTTAGGGTTACCAGGCAGTCCTTAGAGGCAATGGTGAAAACTGGTATGGAGGTCAAAGCAAGTGTGACTCAAGCCTTCTGGGAACCAGGCAGTGCCATACAGGGGCCTCCCTAGGGTATACTGCAGATAAGACATGCCTCTGTAGCACACGTGTTGCCAGTAAGGAGCCTAAAGATGATGGGGGTGGTCTCCTCAGGCTCCTCAGCATAGCACAGCCAATGCTAGACAGGACAGTGAAGCCAGCCTCAGGGACAGTCACTTCAGGAGGCCACTTAGTTGAAGGACAAGAAGGAGCTGGAGCAAGAACGGGACAGGGATCAGGGAACAGGCAAGATGGTGCCAGAGCAGCAGGGAGATGATTGCTACTGAGGCTCTAGGGCTCCCATTCGGTGCCCTCCCTGCCCAGTCCCCTCCTGTCTCCTTCCCACAGAGCACCCTACCACTTCTTGCCTTCACAGGCATGATCCTTTCTCACAGGGAACATCCTCCTTGCTGGTTTATACAGAAACTTCCTGGAACAGGACAAGGATGTCCACAACAGACCAGTGCAGCAGGACAGAGAGCCCAGACCTGAGCCAGTGACCCAGCAAACCCTGGGTCAAAAGCACAAGGGGAGGAGGGCCAGCTTGGGATGCCAGCTCTAATTGTTCTCCTGAAAGTAGATGTCTAACCTGCTCTATGTGTGGCCTCAGGCCAATCTCACTGGGTCAGTCCCAAAGCTGCCTCATATCCAGCCCTGCTACAGAGGATCATGCAAAGAGACACTAGGAGTGTTTGTTCCATTTCACCAGGAAAGCCTGCTCAGATGATTTCTGCAGTGTTCAGAGACCTACAGTTGATGGTTATCAAGGAACCAGGTAGAGCGGGCCTTGGGATGCAGCCCTCAGCTTTCAAGTCTACCCCTCTTGTAGCCATGCCAAGGTTTGCACAGCCACCAATGCTACTCCTGCAAAAGAACCAGAGCCGAAGAGAATCTGAGAAAGAGGAGCATTTGATGTAGAGAAGACTGCAAACCTGCTGTGCCGATGCCTCCAATACCCAGATGTCTAACCGAGTCCTGTACACATCAAGTGAACTCTAGAGAACCCATAACTAGCTGTGAAAGTAAAGGCTACAGTGATTCCCAGGGGCCAGGTGGTGCCATGACTTGCACGCCTCTTGCTCTCCGCTGTACTGAGTCACTGGATGGAGAGTCATCCACACAGCTCACTGTGCTTCCTATATAGGCAATCACTGAGTACCACTGAGCTTAAGAACATAACCCCATCTCCCAGACAGAAAACAAGACACCTAGAGAATGAAGAAAAAAAGCTTGAGAGGGAAGGATAGGAGTGTCAGGTGGAGCACGTGGACAGGGAGTCTCTCTCCCTCCCTCAAGGGCCCTTCCAGATAGCATAATCCTAAACAGAGAACTGCAAGTACACTTTCCTATCACAAATTAACTAGGCCCTCTGTTCTTCCAAAAAATCCCTTATCCAGAAATGTCCTTGGGACTTTTCAAAAAGAAATACAAAACCACACAATCTCTTGTAGTTTAGTTGGGTGGTATCAGTGGACCTTGGACCCACTTTCTCCTATCACACTACTTGTTGTTCTCTCCCAGTTGTTCTCACAGGGGTAGAGGGCGGGGGAGGGGAGCAGGGGGACATCTTAGAGAATAAACCTGGAACTCCAGACCCCACCCCACCTTGCTGTGCTTCCTCCCTTGCCTGAATGGTAATTTGATTCAATACTTCTCTCTTGAGCTCTCTTCTCCTTTCAAACCCTAAAATCCAACAAGGAGGAAGCACCCTAGTGAGTGGAGAAACCACAGATGGAATAAGGCTGAGACCCTGAAAGACTCCTGGAGCTTCCCAGTCCCCTGGACTCTCCCCATGAGAGAAGATTAACTGGAGACAGGTCCTTGCAGATGCATAGTATGGGGCCTCTTCATGTCACAATCTCTGCCTCTTAGCCATCAAGAAGTGAAATCAGTCTCTGCCATACCCTTTGACAATCATAATATTCTGCTTAAGTACATGGGGCCACACACAGATATATACATATACACATAACGTATACATGTGTGTGCCTGTGTGCCTGTGTTTGCCTGCAGGTGGAGATCACCAGTTGATATCGGGTATCTTCCTCAATATCTCTCGTCATTACTTTTTGAGACAAGATCTCTCACTGAGCCAGGCTTTCATTGGTTTGGCTAAGCTGTCTTCAGAGCAAGTTCAGAGAGTTTTCATCTCCCTAGCTCGGGGATTATCAACTCATATCACAACACTTGGTTTGAGTTGTGCAAAGGACTAAACTTATGTCTTTGTGCTTGCACAGCACACAAGTATTTTATAGACTGTGTCACATCCCCATCCTTTTCTGGTTCTTTTCAATGCTTCTGCTGGCTGTTAAACTGCACACAATGAATCTGCACATGCACACCCAGCTAGGAACTATTGAAAACTATTGGAAAGTATTTTCTAACTTCTGATATAGAATAATAGTAATATTAGTTTGGTTTAATATTCCTGTCTACTTAACCTTTATATACGTCTATTAACTTATCTTTTTCCTGATGTTTTTGTTGCATCTATGTTTAAGTTGGTGTTTAATAAGGTCAGTGTCTTAGTCAGGGTTTGTATTCCTGCACAAAACATCATGACCAAGAAGCAAGTTGGGGAGGAAAGGGTTTATTCAGCTTACACTTCCACATTGCTGTTCATCACCAAAGGAAGTCAGGACAGGAACTCACACAGGGTAGGAACCTGGAGGCAGGAGCCGATGCAGAAGCCATGGAGGAATGCTGCTTACTGGCTTGCTTCCTCTGGCCTGCTCAGCTTATTTTCTTATAGAACCCAGGACTACCAACCCAGGATGGCACCACCCACAATGGTACCATTCTACCTTGATCACTAATTGAGAAAATGCCTTACAGCTGGATCTCATAGAGGCATTTCCTCAAGGGATGCTCCTTTCTCTATGATAACTCCAGCTTGTGTCAAGTTGACACACAAAACCAGCCAGTACAAGTTGGCAAAAAGGGTTTTAATCTTACCAGATTAATAAACACTTCTCTTCCATGAACATTTATCTTATAAGCTTTACATTTTAATTAATCACTTATTTCACAGTGACCCTCACATAGATGAGTACTTATCTTTTAACTGCTGTAACAGGCAGCAGCTGGAACTTGGCCTAAGGACAATACCCAGGAGGGCTATCCTCCAACCATGTTTCAAATTATAGGTAAGTCACAGCAAGTGCTTGACAAAGGCCAGAATCCATGTTCTGGTTGCCATCAGGATCCTGGTCATTGGATGCTTCTTCAATAAATCTAGCTCCTTTGTGGGTGACTTGACAGCACCTCTAATCACACACTGTTGCTCTGGGGCCTAGGAAAGTAGATCTGCCCATCTCCAGCCACTCAGGGACAGCCCCACCTCTTAAGTGCTTAGGTGAGAGAGCACTTCTGGGTCAGACTACAATACAC